ATCTGTTGTGATATTTCCTTCTTCATCTTGTATTTTAGTAGTTTGAGTTTTCTCTCTTTTTTTTCTTCATTAGCATGGCCATGGGTTTATCTATTTTATTTATTTTTTCAAAGAACCAATTTTTTGTTTTGTCAGTTTTTTCATTGGTTTATTTTATATTGATTTCATTAATTCAACTCTGATTTTAATTATTTCCTGTCTCCTACTGTTTTTGGTGTTGATTTGTTTTTCTTTTTCTAGGTCTTTGAGATGTAGTGTCACCACTTCTATTCAACACCACCCTTGAAACTCTAGCCAGAGCAATTAGACAAGAGAAAGAAATTAAAGGGATACAAATAGGTAAAGGAGAACTCAAACTATCACTATTTGCTGATAACATGACTCTATATCTAGAAGATCCAAAAAATTCCACCAGAAAACTTCTAGAACTAATAAATGAATTCAGCAAAGTAACAGGATATAAAATCAATGCCCATAAATCAAATGCATTCCTATACATTAGCAATGAATCCACTGAAAGAGACATTAGGAAAACTACCCCATTCACAATAGCCTCAACAGAAACAAAAACAAAAAACACCTGGGAATCAAACTAACAAAAGAAGTGAAAGACCTTTACAGTGAAAACTACAGAACAGAAAAGAAAGAAGTTGAAGAAAATCTCAGAAGATGGAAAGATCTCCCATGCTCCTGGATAGGTAGAATTAATATTGTCAAAAAGACCATACTACCAAAAGTATTATACAGATTTAATGAAATTCCTATTAAAATCTCAATGACATTCTTCAGAGAAATAGAAAAAGAAATCATGAAATTCATTTGGAAAAAATAAGAGACCCAGAAAAGCCAAAGCAATCATTAGCAAGAAAAGTGAAGCAGGAGGCATCACAATGCCAGACCTTAAACTATACTACACAGCTATCGTAACAAAAAACAGCAGGGTATCGGCACCAAAATAGACTTGTAGACCAATGATACAGAATAGAGGACACAGAGACAAACCCACATAAATACGGTTATCTCCTACTAGACAAAGGTGCCAAAAACAATCACTGGAGAAAAGAAAGCCTCTTCAACAAAGGGTATGGCAACACTGGAAATCCATATGTAGCAAAATGAAATTAAACCTCTCTTTCTCTCTCACCCTGCACAAAAATCAACTGAAAGTGGGTCAAAGACTTAAGCACTATAACAGAGACCCTGCGTCTAATAGAAGAAAAAATAGGCCTGAATCTTCACCATGTTGGCCTAGGATCTGACTTCCTTAACAAGACTCCTAAAGAGAAAGAAGTAAAATCAAGGATCAATAAATGAGATGGATTCAAATTAAAAAGCTTCTTTTCAGCAAAGGAAACAATCAATAACGTGAGGAGAGAGCCTGCAGACTGGGAGAAAATCTTTACCACATGCAACTTCAATAAAGCATTAATCTCTAGGATATATAAAGAACTCAAAAAGTTAACACCGAAAACAAACAAATAAACAAACAAACAAACAAAAAATAACCCAATCAATAAATGGGCTAAGAAACTGAACAGACACTTCACAGAAGAAGAAATACAATTGATCAACAAATATATGAAAAAGTGTTCAACATCTCTAGCAATTAGAGAAATGCAAATCAAAACTACTCTAAGATTTCATCTCCTGTCAGAATGGCAATCATCAAGAATACAGGCAACAATAAGTGTTGGTGAGGATGTGGGGGAAAAGGCCCACTGATACATTGCTGGTGGGACTGCAAATTAGTGCAACCATTACAGAAAGCAGTATGRAGATTCCTCAGAAAATTGGGAATGGAACCACCATTTGATCCAGCTATCTCACTCCTTGGTTTATACCCAAAGGACTTAAAATCAGCACACTATAGTGATACAGCCACATCCATGTTTATAGCAGTTCAATTCACAATAGCTAGACTATGGAACCAACCTAGGTGTCYCTCAATAGATGAATGGATAAAGAAAGTGTGGTTTATATACTCAATGGAATATTACTCAGCTTTAAAGAAGTGAAATTATGGCATTTGCTGGTAAATGGTTGGAGTTGGAGAATGTCACGCTAAGCAAAATAAACCAACCGCACAAAACCAAAGGCTGAATGTTTTCTCTAATATGTGGATGTTAATTCACAATAAGGGGGGGGCTCTAGGGGAGAACAGTGTCACCTTAGATTAGGTAGAGGGAGGTGATGGGAGGGGAGGGGAGGGGATGTGGGGATAGGAGAGATAGTAGGATGAAACAGACATCATTACTGTAGGTATATATGTGGCTGCATGACCAATGTGATTCTGCAACATGGACACTCAGAAAAATGAAATTATATCCCATCCATGTATGATATACAAAGTGCAAAAATGCATTCTACTGTCATGTGTAACTAATTAAAACACATAAAAAATTATTGCTAAGATCCTCRTTTCACATCTAATACAGCAGGGCAGGGGTGACCTTGTCCTTTGRGCTTGGATGTGCTTTCTTTCATTTTCTTCTTTCTCTTGCGGGGTGGGAGGCTGGACTCGGGTCTTGGGTGGGCTAGGCCAGCCCTCTACCTGGGGCGGGCTCACCACATCCAGTGGAGAGGGTCTGGGGAAAACCAGAGCCAGAGTCCAGAAGATCAGAGCAGAGATCCTGGCTCGGGTCCGCCCTCTGGGATCTGGTAGCTGCCCTGCCCGGTGGGGAATGCAGGACCCAGCCAAGGGCTGGCCTTAGTAACTGAGCTGCCCCATTGTCCTTAAGCTGCGGGTCCATTGTCCTCCTGGGAGGGCAGTGAGGTGCCTAGKGAGGTCAGTGCTGGCTGGGGCTGTTCCATGGGTCCCCAGGGTTCCGGCCTATCCCCCTAAAAATGTGAGGTTTTTGCCACACAGATGGGCCCCCGGGTCAGCAGGTGGCTAAGGGTAGGATTTCCTGGAGCTCCTTATGTTCAGAGCAATAACCAGACGCAGGAAGACAAATGCCATGCTCACTCCTAGGTGGAAGCTAAAAAGTTTGTCCCATAGAACCTAGCGGGAGGGGGATCACTAGAGATGGGGAGGGGCAGGCAGGCGGGAGTGGGAGGAAAAGAGACTAGTTACAGAGGAAACAGGATACTATTGTCTTCAGCCACCTGTGGTTCATTTCAAAATAACTACCGAGCAGAGTGCGAATTTCACAATGTATAGAAATGATTAATGTTTTGTGAGATGGAAATGTTTATTACCCATTGCTCATATATTGAGCTATCATGCTGTACCTCATAAATATATACAAATACCATCACTCAATCCGCACAGGCACACACATTCTGGTTCCTGAAGTCAGATGCTAAGGTTCCGATCTAACTTRGATCTCTGCCAGCTGTGTGACATTGGACAAGTTACCCGACTTCTCTGAGCCTCGGTCTCCTTACCTGCCAACGAGGATAAGGCTGACTCTGCCTCACACAGTGGGATAGAGTGGTAGTGTGTGGAGACCTTTCCAGTTGCCATTGACTCAAGGAAGAAGTGTTATTGGCATCAAGTGGGCAGAGGGCAGGATGTTGCTCACCATCCTAAAATGCACAGGACAGTCCCACCACAGAGCTGGCCAGCCTTAAATGTCAAGAACAYCAGGGTGAACAACACACTGTGGAGTTAGAGTGCAAGCGTCTGTGGCTAATATTGACAGTCCGTGCTCCTGGTAAATATTTGCTCTGGTGTGTGGTACATCTTATATGCCCACGARTCTCCTCTGAACACTCCTTAGAAAACAGATCAGAAACATCTCACCCAGTGCTGTCCAATAGGCATAAAATTGGAGATAAATAAAATTGGAAACAGGTAAATTTAATTTTAATTATGTATCTTATTTAACTTAAGATATTGAAAAATACTATCATTTTGTCAGAAAAATCAGTGTAATAAATTATTGTATAGGATTTGTTTTATCCACGGCTTTACTCTCTGCAGTTTTAGTTACCCATGGTCAAGGTTGGTACAAAATATTTAAAGGAAAATGCTAGAAGTCAACAATTTGTATGTTTTAAGTTGTGTGTTATTCTGGAAAACATAACGAGATTTTACCACATCCCAATCCATTCCATCTGAGACCTCGGTCATCCCTTTTGTCCACTGTATCCACGTGGTATATGCTACCCTACTGTTAGTCACTTTCTAGTCATCTCAGTTATGACAGTGCTTGTGTTTAAGTATGACAGTGCTTGTGTTTAAGTAACCTTGAGAGAAAAGGGAGGAAGAAGAGAAGGAGGGGGAGAGAGAGAGAGAGAGAGAGAGAGAGAGAGAGAGAGAGAGAGAGAGCACGCACAAAGGAAAGGGGAGGGAGACCACATGTACATCTTTTATTTTTGTACTTTTTATTTCCTTGCAATATTGGGCATTGGAACTAAGGGCAGTCTACCACCAAACTACATTCCCATACTTTTTTAATTTTTTAGTTTTTGAGACAAGAGTTCACTAAGTTGCTAAGGCTGGCCTCAAACTTGTGATCCTGCTGAATTGCCGGGATTGCAGGCATGTGCCACCAAGCCCAGTCTGTCATAATTTTAATTATAGTATATTGCTATAATTGTTCTGTTTTATTGTTATTGTTGTTAATCTCTCACTGTGACTGACTTATGTAGGCTTCAGTGCCATGTTGATTCAGACACCCACTGGGGTCTTGGAGCATACATGCTCCAAAGACGAGGGTGTTAATTAGATATTTTACATTTTTTTAAACTCAGCCTTCAAAATCCAGTGGGTTTTTTTTACATTTGCAGCACATCTTAATTCAGATGCTAAATTTTTTATCAGTATTATTTCATGTGTATTTAAATTTCATGAAATTTACAGTCTAAAAAGTAGGTCCAAATAGCCAATTTCTTTTATGCTGTTTGTAAACATTTTTTTTTTCAATACTGCGGATTGAACTCAGGGGTGCTCTACTACCCGTCTCCACACCTACCTTATTATTATTATTATTTGAGACAGAGTCTTGCTGAATTACCCAAGCTGGCCTCTAACTTGTAGTCCTCCTGCCTCAGCCTCCTGAGTCCCTGGGATTACAGGTAGGCACCACCTCGCCCACTTGTTACCTAAATATTTTTCTGACTGTAGGATTGAATATCCCTTTTCAAATTAAAATGAATTACCATTGAACTCACCCCAGGCTACAAGCCGGCCTTCCAGCTGCCCTGGGTGCAGAGGGCCCTAACTCTCTGTGCAGAGCCCACTGTAACAAGTGTCCTCACGGAGATCCACCTGACATCAGCAGAAGGGAAATCCAGGTTCTAACCCAGGATGGAACCATTAGAGTTTCGACTCTTCACAATCGCCCTTGCTGGGCACTGAAACAGGACCCAGACAGGACCCGGACAGGTCCACGGACCCCTAGAAAGCCCCCAGATGGGGCTCAGCGACTGCTGTTGGCTGCACACCCCCCCATGCCCTCCGCCTGCCCAGGGTGCCATCAGCCCGTCTCCGGGTGAGGGGGTGAGGGCGAGTGCGGACAGCATCAGGCCCGTGGCACAGAGAACTCGGAGGCCCAGGGAGCTGACCGTCTAGTCCAAGGTGAGCTAATTAGCCGGGGATACGGAATTTCTGCCCAAGCACCCTGAGCCTGTGCGGGCGGCCCCAGAGACAACCGAAATCACCGGTGTGTCCCCAAGTGTGTGCGTGTCTAGCAGAGCAGCTGGGGCTCCTGAGACGCGCAGTAGGGTTGGGGACCCCAGGCAGGCAGAGCAGGCTGCCTCGGCTTACTGCTGAGGAAGCCCTCTGCTCTCCTTTGCCCCCAAAGACCTGAGGGACCCAGAGACCATGGCTGCACTCTCCCCTAGAGGACAGCTCCTGTCCCCCTCCCTTGTTGGAGGACCTTGACGGATCTGTGGAAACCCCATTCTCTCCCAATAGCACCAGCATTTTCTGGGACTCCCTGGGGCCGGGCGCGGGGGAAACCACAGCACCTTCCCTGCTTCCAAGGCACAGGCTTGCTGGGCCCTGAGGACACGGCCGTGAGCAGGACAGATCTCTGGTCCCTTCCTGAAGGACTTTCAGACCAGCTGGGAACCGGATACTCCACAAGTCCTCACGTAATTCATGAATGACGTTTGAGACCCATGCTCTGCCGAGGGGCAGGGCACGGCATGGCACAGTCTGGAAAGAGGGTTTTAGAAAGCCTTCTGTTTTTTCTTTTGATTGACACATACACATACATACGGCGTATGTCATGATAGTTCTAGATTGTGTGTGTGTGTGTGTGTGTGTGTGTGTGTGTGTGTGTTTGGAGCCTTCAACCTCCTCTTAGTACTTCATGAAATATACAACAGGCAGGTGGTTGGGGACTGTCCTGGGCCTGCTGAGCTGTAGAACATGAGCACTTAGTCCTTCTATTTAACTGCATCTTGGTCCCTACCGTCCAGCCTCCCTCTGTCCCCCCCTCCCCCTCCCTTTCCTAGTCTCTAATAATGACTGTCCTACTCTCTTCTTGGAGATTGGCTTTTTACGCTTCCACATGTCAGTGACGACGTGTGGCATTTGTCTTTCTGGGTCTGGTTCATTTCACTTCATGTGATCTTGAAGCTCAGGCCTGAGCTGCAGGAAGAGGCAGAGGAAGGGGAGGGGGTGGGCAGGATTCCAGCTCCCCAGGGGGCCTCAGCTGTGGCCACTGCCTCCCAGCCTGGCCTGGCCACTGCTCCCCGGTGGCACCTCCTCCTGGCCACTCACCATTCCTATTTGCCGGACGACTCCCTGCCGTCTGCTCTGCACCCATTTGTTCACCCCGGGCTCCCCCTCCCTCCTGAGGCTCTGGACTTGGCAAGGGGGGTCTCAGCCATTGCTGGGGATCGTTCCTATTTCCTCACACTGGTCATGGCTGAGCTGGAATGGCCCCATCTGCCTGCTCAGAGGGAGTCCTCCACCCAGCCAGCCTGCCCTGTGCCCACCTTCGCCTTGACTCAGACATGGCCTTCCTGGCGAGGTGTCCCCTAACCCCTTGATTTAAAGCTACGATCTTATGAAGGGATAAAAAGAATGTGGTCTGCCTACACAGTGGCACATTCTCCAGCCACAAAATGGAACGAAGCTGTGTCCTTTGCTACAGCCCCCGTGGAGCTGGGGGACACCATGAGGCAAAAACGTCAGGCACAGATATAAATGCACACCTGAGGTGTATCAGCCTGAAGCTGAAAATTCTGTCTCAGAGAAGCAGAGAGTAGAGGAGCACCGGGCAGGGTTCTGGAGAGGGGAGGGAGGCCAGGAGGAGGGTGAGTGGGGTGCTGTTGCAAGGGAGCAATGGCTGGCAATGTCCCCGAGCGAGCGAGGAGAGAGATTGTGGCTGACAAAGGTGTATTTCCAAGCCGCCAGCAAGAGGCCTGGAATGTACTCAGCACACAGAGGGGAGGTGGTATCAGGTCATCCATAGGTAATGTCAGTTCCCCTCATCGGGTCATTACAGACCATAAACAAGAAATGAGACCTGGCCAGGAAGTACAGTGGACCAGGTRGACTGGATAGTAGAATGCTAGTCAGGGGAATGGGCCCAACTAGGTTTCCCCCCCCCCCCAAATGCAAAGAACACTCTCCATGAAGTTAACCCGTGGAGACATTCCAAACACCCAGCCGACTCCTCTGTCCTGCCGCGGAGGGAAGATGCAGGTGGGGATAGACCCAGATGGAAATGGCAAGTTCAGGTTCAAGGGCTAAAGGTCACACGGTCCATCAGAAGGTCACGCGCCACGTCAACAGCCTTCCTCCGTTTTCTGATACCTGTTTAACATGGGTTCTGAGTGAAGGGAGAGGGAGGAACAGAGACGGGTAAGTGAGAAATGAACGACGGAGACCAGGCGGAGATCCACAGAGTTTATTTGTCAGAGCTGAGAAATGAAGGCCGACGGTCGATAGGAGAGAGAGGAAGCTCAGGCCTGGGTTCGGGGACTCTGATGGGGCAGGCTCAGGAATCCGAGCCGGGGAGGGGGTCCTTGTGTCGGTGGTGGTGAGGGGTGGGTTGGTGTGAGGGAGTGGAAGCCTTTCTCAGAAAGGCCCTTGGACAGGGAAACTGAAACTTTTTCTTTAACAGGGTGGCTGTCCAGATGCTAAGCCAACCTTACGTTGGCCAGTGCTCCTACATGGGAAATCTAGACGCCCCTAGGTCAGCACCCCCAAACGGCCCTTGCTCTCAGGTGCCCTCCCACACCGTGGAAGCTCCGTCTCTTCTCCCTCAAACAAACAACACTCCTCTCCCTCTGGCCTTCCAGTGTTGTCTGTGGATTTTGTTCTTTGAATTTGTGGGACAAGAAGCCAGAAAGAAATTGGCGGTGAGCTACTGGGGTCTGCTGGGGGTCCTGGCCCACCATGAAGGGCTGTGACACAGACCAGAGACCATCCAGCTTTGGGACCCTGGGAGCTGACGACCTGCTGTCACGGAAACAGGCTTTCTGGGCTTTGGGGGACGTAGAAGCAGAGGATCTGGTCTCATGTTATGGAAACTCTGGTTTCATAGTTACTAGGTGTCAAATAAAATATATTTAAAATTAAAAGTGAAAACAACACTGTAATCCCATCTGCATAAAACGCTTACATGAAAATGGGCATAGTGATCTTCTTTGTGACAGCCCCAAGTAAGTTGAGTGTTCCTCCAGGGGTGAATGGACTACCATGCAGTGGATATTATGTAGCCACCAAAAGGAACAGAACACTGAGATAAGAAGCTACAGTGTAGATGAACTTGGACACATTATTCTCAGCGAGAGAAGCCCAGGCACAAAAGATCTCACGGCATGTGATTCCACTGCCACAGACTATCCACAATCACCAAAAGACAGAAAGCAGGTTGGCAACTGCCTATGGCTGGAGGATGGAGAGTTGGAATAGAATGTGACGATTACCCACGGGCTCTGGGCTATTCTGGGATGAGATTGTGTATGTGTGTGTGTGTGTGCGTGCACACGTGCGCGTGTGCAGGGGTGGGGAGGGGGGATTGAAGCCATGATCTCCTACATACTTGGCAAGTACTCTACCACTGAACTACATCCCTATAAATATATATATATAATATATATATATTATATATATATAATATATATATATTTATATATATAATATATTATAATATTATATATATAAATATATATATATTTATATATATATATATATTTATATATATATATTTTATTTTGAGAAGAGATCCTGCTAAATTGCCAAGGCTGGCCTTGAACTTGTGATCCTCCTGCTGTTGTTACCAAAGCTCAGTCCTTATCCCCAATGCCTATCAATAACAAGAACATCTGGAATGAAGCCTTTGAATAGCTTCTTTAAAAACCCTCTGTTCTCCCAAGTTGGGCAGAATCACAGCCTCTCATAGTTATGCACGGATTGGAGAACAGCACAGTGTGTACCGGGTTCAGCGTGTTGGAAATTCCTAGGTGTCGCAAGGAATCAAACATGTGCTCGGAAGTGGGTGGGCAAGGCAAACTCTACTTCTGCCAGAAGGGTGTGCTACAGAACCTGGCTAGCAAGCGCACCTGGGTGGCCAGTCACCTATTTTTATCCCTAAGGCAGTGATCACGCTTGCCCTGAGCTCAGAGTTATAATTTATGCAATTAGCTAATTTAAAATGTGTGTGTGTGTGTGTGTGGGGGGGAATGGCTACAATTGGATCTTACATCCCAATTAGAGAGAAATACTATCTTCTGAAAAGGCACCACTGGAGTTCCTAATTCTCACAAGCATTACCCACAAAAGCTGGCAGCCACTGGTGGTCTTGGAATGTACCCCTAAAGTAAGGGGGGGGGGACTAATGTACTCTCAGCCCCGGGAACCTGTCCAGTACACAGATCGTAGGGGAATGTTGAGTGATCTGAATTCCCAATTGTCCTGCCCTGGTGTCCACCTCTTGGATGAATGGACTCTATGTCCCACCTTTTCCCCTGGATGCCCCAGCATGGCCTTGACTATTAATGTGGGTGGCTGCTGTCACTTTATTTTTAGTTGTGTGATCTCTTTCTCCTCCTCCCTCTCCTCCCTATGGAAGCAGCCACAGAAATGAGTATTTCTTCTCCCC